GAAAGTTAGTTATTTTTTATAAAGAGTGCACACTAACCCATTTTGACATTTACCCACTTCAGAACAGTTGCTACCATGTCCACATGATAGACCTTGCTCAAATATTTAAAGAACATCATGATTACTAAACCACAATCTTTTATAGACTGGGGCTTAATGTTGTTTTTTCATTTTGAATTCCCCAGAGCTCCTCACATGAGGACTGAATGAGCATTTGTAGAATAAATATATTGAAAAATTATACATCTTCGGCTTTTTACAGTTAACATATTCCAATTTCCTCCAGTAATTTCTCCTGTTTGTCAATTCCCCTTGTAAAATGTAACAACAAACAGAAACCTTCAAAGAGGCTGAATAGCTTGACTTGTAATAGTCAAGACATCCTTCTCTCCCTCCCTCCCTCTCTTCCTTCCTTCCTTCTGTCAATTTATTTAAACTGAAACAAAACAAAACAAAGCAAAAACAAAACAAAAATCCACCTGGTTTTCCCACCCCCATCCACCACTTCTGGCAACCACCATTCTATGCTCAGTATCTAAGAACTTGACATATATATATATATATATTTTCCAGATTCTTCATAGAGGTCATACATTATTTGTCTTTCTCTGTCTGAATTATTTTTACTAGTATACTCTTGAGGTTCATCCATATTGCTGCAAGTGGCAAGATTTCATTCTTTATTATGGCTGGATAATATTCCATTGCTTATATATAGCACAATTTCTTTAGCCAGTCATCTACCAATGAACACTTAGGTTGAGTCCATATCTTGGCTGTTATAAATAATGCTGCAATAATAAACACGGGGTGCATGTACCTTTTCTCATTAGTGTTTTTGTTTTCTTTGGATAAAAACCCAGAAGTGATATTGCTGGATCATATGGCATTTCTATTTTTAATACTTTGAGGAACTTCCATACTGCTTTCCATAGTGGCTATTACCAATTTACATTCTAACCAACAGGACACAAACATTCCCTTTTCTCCACAGCCTTGCTGACACATTATTTTTACTTTCTTTGATGATAGCTTCCGAAAGTGAGGTAATGTATCACTGTGGTTTTAATTTGCATTTTCCCTGATGACCAGTGATAGAGAAAATCTTTTCATGTACCTGTTGGCCATCTGTATGGCTTCTTTGGAAAAATGTTCATATCTCCTGGCCATTTTTAAAAATGGATTATTTGTTTATTTCTTTGTTTTGCTATTGAGTTGTATGAGTTCTTAATATATTTTGGAGATTAACTCCTTATCAGATATATGATTTGCAAATATTTTATCCTATTTAGTAGGTTACCTTTTAGTTCTATTGATTGTTTCCTTTCTGTGCAGAAGTTTTTTAGTATGATATAGTCTCCACTTGTTTATTTTCGCTTTTGGTGTCAGAGTCAAAAAATCATCTTGAAGGACCTGTCAAGTAGTTTACCACCTATGTTTTCTTCTAGTTGTTTCATGGTTTCAGGTTTCATGTTCAAATCTTTAGTCCATTTTGAGCTACTTTTTGTGTATGATTTAAGGCAGTAGGTGAGTTTTATTCTTTTACATGGGCCTATCCAAAATTCCCATCAAAATTTTTTGAAGAGATTCTTCTTTCCTAATTTATATTCTGCAAATAGTGACAGTTTTACTTTTTCCTTTACAATCTGGATGCCTTTTATTTCTTTTTCTTGCCTAAATGCTTTGGCTAGGACTTCAACTACTATGTTGAATTGAAGTGGCAACTGTGCAAATCCTTGTCTTGTTCGTGATCTTAGAGGAAGAGCATTCAACTTTTCACTGTCGACTATGATGCTAACTGTGGGCTTGTCATATATGGCCTTTATTATGTTGAAGTACATTCCCTGTATAACCATTTATTGAGAGTTTTTATCATAAATGGATGTTGAATTGTGTCAGTTGCTTTCTCTGCATGAATTGAGATGATCATATGATTTTTATCCTTGTTAATGTGGTTTATCACATTGGCTAATTTGATTATTTCAAACCATTCTTGCATCCCCAGAAAAAATTCCACCAGATCACGGTGTGAAGACACTATTTGTTAAATGCATCCTGAGTTTTTTTTCTTTTCTTTTCTTTTCTTCTTTTTTTTTAACATTTGATGCTGTTGGATCAAATAAACCATTTTTTCCCCATATAGTTGCCTACCATACCAAAGAGGTCTAATTCTTCTTCTGTATAACTTATTTTTTAACCTATATTCAGAAACTTATTTACTGCTGCTAAATTTCATTTTTTTTATGAGAGTGTTCTATTATGTAGTTTGCATATATAGCATATCATTTAGAATAGCTTCAGTTACGCATAACAGGATGCTAGACTGACAGTTGTTTAAACAGTAAAAATATTTGATTTTCCTACATATTGAGAAGTCTGTAGTTACCAACAGTTCTATAACTGACAGAATGATGTCTTCAAACATGCATGCCTTTCCCATATTTCTCCTAAGTCTTCTCTGTTATGCTGGTGATATCTCATCGCATGGTTGCAAAATGGCAGCCAAAGTTTCAAGTGTCATGCCCTTATACTCCCTTTTGTTCTAAGGAGGAAAAAAAGAAGGTACAGACAAAAAGAGCTTTGTGTGTGTGTTTGGTGTTTTGTTGTTACACTTTTGTCTGTCTCATGTGGCTGGCTGTCTTCTCAAAAGCAAAATCTTTCCTGCAGTCCCCTCTTCATCCCAGGCTATTTCTACTTAGGCCTCCTTTTCCAGAACTAGGTCACATGCTCACCATCGTACCAGTCAGTGCAAAGGGAAATAGAATGACTCTTCAGACTTAACAGCAATCTTGATTCATTCTTCAGGGCTGGGATGAGTACGTAAATATGAACCTTGAGATTTAGTTTATGCAAACCCTTGTCACATAGTGAAGCTCTGAAAATATTCAGCTTGTTTTTTGTCTTGTTTTTGTTTTTGTCAAAGGTTAAATTGTCACAAATACCAAATAAGACAAGTTCAAACTAATGGATATTTACATCTGGATATATGCTCAAATGGATATTATAGCTTTGAAAATGTTTTGCCATGAATGTGAAAATATTTTAATAATATAAAGCACCTTTCTCTGTAGAACTCAGGGACATCATGTTATGTCGTTTGTTCCCCCACAGCCCTTTTGAGAAACAACAGGCCAAAGAAAAGATACAAATATAATAAGTCCTGTGTTTAAGGTTACATAGCCAGTCACTTTGCTAATTAAGACCCTCTTAGTTCTCTGATATACTTTATGAAAATAAAAATGGGTGACAAAACTTGAATGCCAATCCAGAAAGAATAAAGACCTTGGTTTCTGTTACTTATATCAAAGTATAGTATTTAGGATACATTTGTCAGTGAATATCTGTTGTTTAAAGAGAAAAATGTAATTCAGTAAAGAACTATTTTAGATACTTCAAGTTGGAATTTTTTAATAACTGAATTCACAACGTATCATTAATAAACTTCTGCAAAAAACAAAAAATTGTCTAAAATCGAGGGGCCCAAAAGCTAAAACAAATGCAAATCAATGTTTTCAGATTGTTCGGCATGACAGAACTATGGAGCAAATAGTTTTTCCTGTCCCCAATATATGTGAATATCTTACTCGAGAATCCAAGTGCCGTGTGTTCAATACAACTGAAAGGGACGAGCAAGGAAGCAAAGTAAATGACTTTTTCCAGCAAACAGAAGATCTTTACAACGAAATGAAGTGGCAAAAGAAAATCAGGAGTAAGTAGAATAAACTGAAGGGGTTAGTTCTGAGCATAGTGGCAGATAAGTCGGCACTTCGGGACACGTGACAGCATCCATCAAACTGGTTTTTAATTTCTTGCTGCCTGATGTTCCTGGAATCACTTGTAAGCTTAAGAACGTGAGCTCAGTCTACAGCTGGAGCCGAAGTAGCCACAGCTTAATGAAAATAGAAAATTCTGACCAATTAGGTCATCTTTTAATGCTGATCCTAGTATAAAATGCAAGGTTGCAGCTGTATGTTTCAGCTGTTGACCAGCTGCAGGTCTGAAGTCCATGAATGGGGCCCCCACTGGACTTAAAAGTCCATGAATAGGATGGAGAGACGCTGGCCTCAGCACACTCATCGTCTGTTATCTTGGGATCTCCTGACTGAGTTGACTGTTTAATGTTTTTCTGAAAGTCATTTTTTCATTCAAGGTATCTTTACCTTGCCAAATAAAACCAAACATTTTGTGACACCTGTTTTTAAATAGAACAATATTACAATTCTATAGTTAAAAACTAGTACAATGCAGTTCCTGTTACTCAACAGGACTCAAGTCTATCTGGAAATAATTGAATTATAAAATGAAGAATTTTTAAGGTTTTAAATAAACTTTAGTTTATTCTGGCAGATAAGGAATATCATGACTTTTTTAGCAAAAATTGGCAGGGGGAAACTCTTGATGAGGTCTTCTCTGTCTTTTGGAGAAGTTCTCCAAACAAGCAGGCATGTATGTGTTCTCGGTGCCTCTATTCAACAGTGTTTCATCATTCTAGTTTTCTAGGAACTTTAGCAAGTGTGGTTTATGAATTTGGGTGGAGCATGACACACACCACCTTTGGACATAATATTGTGGTATGCATAGGTGGGCTTTCTCAGCAGATTGTTTGAAAAAACGGAATACATTACTCTCAGCATTTTACCATGTAGAACCTTATAGAATTCAGAGAAAATTTTGGGTATCCAGAATACATAAGAATGCTCAACAATTTTACTTGGAACATTTGAAAAAAGTACATTGTATCTTTGACAAAAATTAAGCTGAATAATGAATTGATGTTTGTGGCATCTGTGCTTTTTTGGATAAATATTTTGTCAGTTAGCAACAAAAAAAAATCTTAAAATAACTTCCAATGTACATTTACTTTTAAATTTGGAAACAGCCTGTTAGGAGGTTATAGACAGACTTTAATTCATTGGATGAATTTGTTATTACAAATACGTGCATCAACATCTTCTAGTTTTATCTTAATATTCTGCTTTTAAAAATACGGACTCTTAATTCAAGAATTATGGAGTTCCAGATGTTTACAATTTATGATAGATGAGTCAACTAAATGCCATGGCTAGTCATTGCCTATTTCAGTGCTGAAATGCTTCATTCTAAGAGACGGAAAACAAGATGTACTGAAGGAAAGTACAGTTTATAAGTGAGCAGTAGACCCCAGATTATAATTCACAGAACATAATTTGAGAAGTTTATAATTTATATTTGAAAATTGATAGGCCTTTCTCCTGTAATTACTCCATTATTTTAAATCTGATGTTAAGATATTTAGAGTTAAAGAATGCACAGACTTGATTAAATCATGTGATCAAATTTAGCTGCATTACATATCTGTTCAATTATTTAGCAGAGGTGGAAACAAGTGATTTTTGGTTAATGTAAACTGTATTCAGTGGATGCATTTACGAGTCCATTTCTGATGACAAATAGAGAATCTCTTTTCTGAAAACATTCTGCAAAACCCTCTCGCACTTATTGGCAGTTCTTATTGTATCTCTCATTTTCTTCTGCTGTTACAAGCCCAACAAGTTTTTAGGAAGTGTGTATGTTTAAAACTTAGATATTATTGTGAATCACTAGTTCCCAAACTATTCAGTTTCAGAGTTTCAGGTAACTGTGATGGAGTCATAGGAATTTTCACCAGATATATATCTGTGCTAAGGGCTTGAGTTTTTATTTGACTTTCTGGCACGAGTGTGGGACCAATTTGTCAATATTACTAAATTATACAGTTAAGATATACTGTCTGGTTAAAAGTGGTCCCACGAAGCTACCAAACTGTCTTTTCTCTAATCTGCTCTAGTGATACATTAGAGAGAATCATTAGAGAATCCCCTCTTCTGAGCATCTTTAACAATTGAAAAATTACCATTTTACAGTGATATGAGTATAAATTGATGAAAGGATAAAGAAGGAAT